TGAATGTACCAAAGTTTGGTTATCCATTCCTCAGTTGTTGGACATCTAGGTTGTTTCCAAGTTTTGGCTATTGTAAATAGTGCTGCGATGAACATCGGCATGCATATATCTGTTCTTGTTATGGCTCTCACTTCTTTAGGGTAGTTTTTATATCTCTTTAAAGAATGATGATGGAATCTGGATTGAGATTGCATCTGTAAATTGCTTTGGGTAGTATTGACATCTTCTCAATGTTACTACGTCCTATCCATGAGCATGGTATATTCTTCCATTGATGTAGGTTTCCTTTGGTTTCTTGTAATAGTATTGTGTATTTTTCTTTGTATGAGTCTTTTGTGTCTCTGGTTAGATTTATTCCTAAATACTTTATCTTTTGGGTGGTTATTATAAATAGTATTGTTTACCTGATTTCCTTTTTAGAGTTTTCTTTGTTATTTTAAAGGAATCTGATTTTTGTATGTTGATCTTGTACTCTTCCACTTTGCTGAGACTTTGAGTTAGTTCCAGTAATTTTCTTACTGAGTCTTTGGGATTTTCAATACATAAGGTCATATTATCTGTAAATAGAGATGGTTTTACTTCTTCTTTGCCAATTTGGATACCTTTCCTTTCTCTTCCTTGCCTTATTACTCTGGCTAGGACTTCCAATCAGTATGGAATAGGAGTGGTGATAAAGGGCATCCTTGTTTGCTTCCCATTAATAAGGGGAATATTTTCAGTCTCTCCTAAAAGCTTTCTTTTTGGAAAGATTTTTTCAATTATGATTTGTGATTTTCCAAAAGCAAGTACTGAACTTTTACATTTTCTACTTAACCTTGCTTCCAGAATTATTTTACTTTCCTAAAGAACCAAAAAATATATTCAGGAAACCTCAGGATCTCACCTCTACCATTTGCCATTGATGTGATTTCTTTATAAAATTCGTTTTCCTCACCTAAATTTCTTTCTAAAATTCATTTTCCTCAACTATAAAATGTGGTTTTAACAAAACCCATTCTGAATAACTCAACAGTTGTTGTGAATGTTAAGTAAGGTAATATATTAGAAGCACTTTGTAATTTATTAAATGCTTTATAAATAGATAGTATTATTGCCTGCTCATCTAGTTCTATGATAGTTTTCTAAAGTATGGTATCATTAAGTGGTAATACGCAATAGACCTGGACTGTGACTTAAATTAGATATATAATCTTTAAGTCACTACTCGTTTGTTTGTTTGTTACCCTGTGGTTTGTTCATTTATTTTATTGTGATTTTGGTGAAATTTGCTGAGCAAATTTATTTTTCATTCAGCAGTTCGTACATATTTTGTTTTATGACATTGATTGCAATCCCCATAATGTAACAACTGTCTTCCTGCTTCCTCCCTGTGCTTACCTTTTCCCTGTGTCTTTCTTCCCTATTCATTCCTGCCCTCTGAGCTATCTCCCTGTACAAATGTTGCCCTTCTGATATCCCATGATTGATTGTTCTAAGGAGTGTGCTTACCTGGCGTAAATGTTCACCTTATAGGCCTGTCTGTTGTTTGACAGGAAGCTATGGGAGTGAACTCAATTCCAGGCCTGAAGGGTGACTAGAGGCCATAATATTGGGGGTTTCATAAATCTCTATCAGGCCAGTAAGCTTGGTCTTTTTTTATGAGTTTGACTTTTGTTCCATGTTTTTCTCCCACTGTATCCAGGAGCTCCAATTTTGATGCTTTTCCGTGTGGTTAACAGTGGTAGCCAGGCACCATCTAGT